TTACAACCATGACATGAACACCTTCACTGTAGTAGGCCACTGTAACAACGATGACATTGACACCTTCACTGTAGTAGGCCACTGTTACAACCATGACATGGACACCTTCATTGTAGTGGGTCACTGTTACAACCAGGACATGGACAACTTCACTGTAGTAGGCCACTGTTACAACCATGACATGGACACCTTCATTGTAGTAGGTCACTGTTACAACCATGACATGGACACCTTCATTGTACTAGGCCACTGTTACAACCATGACAAGGACACCTTCACTGTAGTAGGACACTGTTACAACCATGACATGGACACCTTCATTGTAGTAGGTCACTGTTACAACCACGACATGGACACCTTGACTATAAGAGGCCACTGTTACAACCATGACATGGACACCTTCACTGTAGTAGGCCACTGTTACAACCATGACATGGACACCTTCATTGTAGTAGGTCACTGTTACAACCATGACATGGACACCTTCATTGTACTAGGCCACTGTTACAACCATGACATGGACACCTTCATTGTAGTAGGCCACTGTTACAACCATGACACACACACCTTCACTGTAGTAGGACACTGTTACAACCATGACATGGACACCTTCATTGTAGTAGGTCACTGTTACAACCGTGACATGGACACCTTCATTGTAATAGGTCACTGTTACAACCATGCCATGGACACCTTCATTGTAGTAGGTCACTGTTACAACCATGACATGGACACCTTCATTGTAGTAGGTCACTGTTACAACCATGACATGGACACCTTCATTGTAGTAGGCCACTGTTACAACCATGACATGGACACCTTCACTGTAGTAGGTCACTGTTACAACCGTGACATGGACACCTTCATTGTAGTAGGTCACTGTGACAACCATGACATGGACACCTTCATTGTTGTAGGTCACTGTTACAACCATGACATGGACACCTTCATTGTAGTAGGCCACTGTTACAACCATGACATGGACACCTTCATTGTAGTAGGTCACTGTTACAACCATGACATGGACACCTTCACTGTAGTAGGCCACTGTTACAACCATGACATGGACACGTTCACTATAATAGGCCACTGTTACAACCATGACATGGACACCTTCACTCAAGTAGGCCACTGTTACAACCAAGACACACACACCTTCACTGTTGTAGTCCACTCTTACAACCAAGACACACACACCTTCACTGTAGTAGGTCACTGTTACAACCATGACATTGACACCTTCATTGTTGTAGGCCACTGTTACAACCATGACATGGACACCTTCACTGTAGTAGGCCACTGTTACAACGAAGACACACACCCCTTCACTGTAGTAGGCCACTGTTACAACCAAGACACACACACCTTCACTGTTGTAGGCCACTGTTACAACTAAAACACACACACCTTCATTGTAGTAGGTCACTGTTACAACCATGACATGGACACCTTCATTGTAGTAGGTCACTGTTACAACCATGACATGGACACCTTCATTGTAGTAGGTCACTGTTACAAGCATGACATGGACACCTTCACTGTAGTAGGCCACCGTTACAACCATGACATGGACACCTTCATTGTAGTAGGCCACTGTTACAACCATGACATGGACACCTTCACTCAAGTAGGCCACTGTTACAACCAAGACACACACACCTTCATTGTAGTAGGTCACTGTTACAAGCAAGACACACACACCTTCACTGTAGTAGGCCACTGTTACAACCATGACATGGACACCTTCATTGTAGTAGGTCACTGTTACAACCATGACATGGACACCTTCACTGTAGTAGGCCACTGTTACAACCATGACATGGACACCTTCATTGTTGTAGGCCACTGTTACAACCATGATATGGACACCTTCATTGTAGTAGGTCACTGTTACAACCATGACATGGACACCTTCACTGTATTAGGCCACTGTTACAACCATGACATGGACACCTTCACTATAATAGGCCACTGTTACAACCATGACATGGACACCTTCACTCAAGTAGGCCACTGTTACAACCAAGACACACACACCGTCACTGTTGTAGGCCACTGTTACAACCAAGACACACACACCTTCACTGTAGTAGGTCACTGTTACAACCATGACATTGACACCTTCACTGTTGTAGACCACTGTTACAACCATGACATGGGCACCTTCACTGTTGTAGACCACTGTTACAACCATGACATGGACACCTTCATTGTAGTAGGTCACTGTTACAACCATGACATGGACACCTTCACTGTAGTAGGCCACTGTTACAACCATGACATGGACACCTTCATTGTTGTAGGCCACTGTTACAACCATGATATGGACACCTTCATTGTAGTAGGTCACTGTTACAACCATGACATGGACACCTTCATTGTAGTAGGCCACTGTTACAACCATGACATGGACACCTTCACTGTAGTAGGCCACTGTTACAACCAAGACACACACACCTTCACTGTAGTAGGCCACTGTTACAACCATGACATGGACACCTTCATTGTAGTAGGTCACTGTTACAACCAAGACACACACACCTTCACTGTAGTAGGCCACTGTTACAACCATGACATGGACACCTTCATTGTAGTAGGTCACTGTTACAACCATGACATGGACACCTTCATTGTAGTAGGCCACTGTTACAACCATGACATGGACACCTTCACTGTAGTAGGCCACTGTTACAACCATGACATGGACACCTTCATTGTAGTAGGCCACTGTAACAACCATGACATGAACACCTTCACTATAATAGGCCACTGTTATAACCATGACATGGACACCTTCACTGTAGTAGGCCACTGTTACAACCATGACATGGACACCTTCATTGTAGTAGGTCACTGTTACAACCATGACATGGACACCTTCATTGTAGTAGGTCACTGTTACAACCATGCCATGGACACCTTCATTGTAGTTGGTCACTGTTACAACCATGACATGGACACCTTCATTGTAGTAGGTCACTGTTACAACCATGACATGGACACCTTCATTGTAGTTGGCCACTGTTACAACCATGACATGGACACCTTCATTGTAGTAGGTCACTGTTACAACCATGACATGGACACCTTCATTGTATTAGGTCACTGTTACAACCACGACATGGACACCTTCATTGTAGTAGTCCACTGTTACAACCATGACATGGACACCTTCATTGTAGTAGGTCACTGTTACAACCGTGACATGGACACCTTCATTGTAGTAGGTCACTGTTACAACCATGACATGGACACCTTCATTGTAGTAGGTCACTGTTACAACCATGACATGGACACCTTCACTGTAGTAGGCAACTGTTACAACCATGACATTGACACCATTATTGTAGTTGGTCACTGTTACAACCATGACATGGACACCTTCACTGAAGTAGGCCACTGTTACAAACATGACATGGACACCTACATTGTAGTAGGTCACTGTTACAACCATGACATGGACACCTTCACTGTAGTAGGCCACTGTTACAACCATGACATGGACACCTTCACTGTACTAGGCCACTGTTACAACCATGACATGGACACCTTCATTGTAGTAGGTCACTGTTACAACCAAGACACACACACCTTCACTGTAGTAGCCCACTGTTACAACCATGACATGGACACCTCCACTGTAGTAGGTCACTGTTACAACCATGACATGGACACCTTCACTGTAGTAGGTCACTGTTACAACCATGACATGGACACTTTCATTGTGGTAGGTCACTGTTACAACCACGACATGGACACCTTGACTATAATAGGCCACTGTTACAACCATGACATGGACACCTTCACTGTAGTAGGCCACTGTTACAACCATGACATGGACACCTTCATTGTAGTAGGTCACTGTTACAACCATGACATGGACACCTTCATTGTAGTAGGTCACTGTTACAACCATGACATGGACACCTGCACTGTTACTACCATGACAAATATACTGTGGATGCCAGGGCTGGTTACTGTGGTGTGATGCCAGGGCCTGTTACTGTGGATGCCGGGCCTGTTACTGTGGATGCCAGGGCTGGTTACTGTGGTGTGATGCTAGGGCCTGTTACTGTTGATGCCGGGCCTGTTATTGTGGTGTGATGCCAGGGCTGGTTACTGTGGTGTGATGCCAGGGCCTGTTACTGTGGATGCCAGGGCCTGTTACTGTGGTTTGATGCCAGGGCCTGTTATTGTGGTGTTATGCCAGGACCTGTTACTGTGGATGCCAGGGCCTGTTACTGTGGTGTGATGCCAGGGCCTGTTACTGTGGATGCCAGGGCTGGTTATTGTGGTGTGATGATAGGACTGGTTATTGTGGTGTGATGCCAGGGCCTGTTACTGTGGTTTGATGCCAGGGCCTGTTACTGTGGTGTGATGCCAGGACCTGTTACTGTGGATGCCAGGGCCTGTTACTGTGGTGTGATGCCAGGGCCTGTTATTGTGGTGTGATGCAAGGACTGGTTACTGTGGTGTGATGCCAGGGCTGGTTACTGTGGTGTGATGCCAGGGCTGGTTATTGTGGTGTGATGCTAGGACTGGTTATTGTGGTGTGATGCTAGGACTGGTTATTGTGGTGTGATGCCAGGACTGGTTACTGTGGTGTGATGCCAGGGCTGGTTATTGTGGTGTGATGCTAGGACTGGTTATTGTGGTGTGATGCTAGGACTGGTTATTGTGGTGTGATGCCAGGGCCTGTTACTGTGGTGTGATGCCAGGGCCTGTTACTGTGGTTTGATGCCAGGGCCTGTTACTGTGGTGTGATGCCAGGGCCTGTTACTGTGGTGTGATGCCAGGGCCTGTTATTGTGGTTTGATGCCAGGGCCTGTTACTGTGGATGCCATGGCCTGTTACTGTGGATGCTAGGGCCTGTTACTGTGGTGTGACGCCAGGGCTGGTTACTGTAGTGGGTTATGCCAGGGCTGGTTATTGTGGTGGGTTATGCCAGGGCTGGTTACTGTGGATACTAGGACTGGTCACTGTGGTGTGTTATGTTGCAGGATTTGCTGCACAAGGAAGATGTTGTAGCAGCACTCGGATCCTTCACTGCAGAGAATGCTGTTGATGCTGTGGTAATGATGCTGTTGTCTACACCCAGGGGAGAACCTCACCGAGAACTGGCAGTGTATTCCCCGCAACGCATCTACAGACAACAGGTACTTGCGTAACAGTATTTTCCCTGCAATACATCTACAGACAAGAGGTTCTTGCCTAATTTACAGTGTATTCCCCACAATGTATCTACAGACAGCAGGTTCTTGCCTAACTAACAGTGTATTCCCAACAATGCATCTACAAACAGCAGGTACTTGCCTAACTGACAGTGTATTCCCCACAATGTATCTACAGACAGCAGGTTCTTGCCTAACTAACAGTGTATTCCCCACAATGCATCTACAGACAACATGTACTTGCCTAACTAACAGTGTATTCCCTACACTGCATCTACAGACAGCAGGTACTTGCCTAACTGACAGTGTATTCCTCACAATGCATCTACAGACAGCAGGTACTTGCCTAACTGACAGTGTATTCCCCACACTGCATCTACAGACAACAGGTACTTGCCTAACTGACAGTGTATACCCCACACTGCATCTACAGACAGCAGGATCTTGCCTAACTAACAGCGTATTCCCCACACTGCATCTACAGACAGCAGGTACTTGCCTAACTAACAGTGTATTCCCCACAATGCATCTACAGACAGCAGGATCTTGCCTAACTAACAGTGTATTCCCCGCAATGTATCTACAGACAGCAGGTACTTGCCTAACTGACAGTGTATTCCCCATTATTCCCCACAATGCATCTACAGACAACATGTACTTGCCTAACTGACAGTGTATTCCCCACACTGCATCTACAGACAACGTGTACTTGCCTAACTGACAGTGTATTCCCCATTATTCCCCACAATGCATCTACAGACAACAGGTATTTGCCTAACTGAGAGTGTATTCCCCACACTGCATCTACAGACAGCAGGTACTTGCCTAACTGACAGTGTATTCCCCACACTGCATCTACAGACAACAGGTACTTGCCTAACTGACAGTGTATTCCCCACACTGCATCTACAGACAACAGGTACTTGCCTAACTGACAGTGTATTCCCCACACTGCATCTACAGACAACAGGTACTTGCCTAACTGACAGTGTATTCCCCATTATTCCCCACAATGCATCTACAGACAACAGGTATTTGCCTTACTGACAGTGTATTCCACACACTGCATCTACAGACAGCAGGTACTTGCCTAACTGACAGTGTATTCCCCACACTGCATCTACAGACAACAGGTACTTGCCTAACTGAGAGTGTATTCCCCACACTGCATCTACAGACAACGTGTACTTGCCTAACTGACAGTGTATTCCCCATTATTCCCCACAATGCATCTACAGACAACAGGTATTTGCCTAACTGACAGTGTATTCCCCACACTGCATCTACAGACAGCAGGTACTTGCCTAACTGACAGTGTATTCCCCACACTGCATCTACAGACAACAGGTACTTGCCTAACTAACAGCGTATTCCCCACACTGCATCTACAGACAGCAGGTACTTGCCTAACTAACAGTGTATTCCCCACAATGCATCTACAGACAGCAGGATCTTGCCTAACTAACAGTGTATTCCCCACAATGTATCTACAGACAGCAGGTACTTGCCTAACTGACAGTGTATTCCCCATTATTCCCCACAATGCATCTACAGACAACATGTACTTGCGTAACTGACAGTGTATTCCCCACACTGCATCTACAGACAACGTGTACTTGCCTAACTGACAGTGTATTCCCCATTATTCCCCACAATGCATCTACAGACAACAGGTATTTGCCTAACTGACAGTGTATTCCCCACACTGCATCTACAGACAGCAGGTACTTGCCTAACTGACAGTGTATTCCCCACACTGCATCTACAGACAACAGGTACTTGCCTAACTGACAGTGTATTCCCCACACTGCATCTACAGACAACAGGTACTTGCCTAACTGACAGTGTATTCCCCACACTGCATCTACAGACAACAGGTACTTGCCTAACTGACAGTGTATTCCCCATTATTCCCCACAATGCATCTACAGACAACAGGTATTTGCCTTACTGACAGTGTATTCCACACACTGCATCTACAGACAGCAGGTACTTGCCTAACTGACAGTGTATTCCCCACACTGCATCTACAGACAACAGGTACTTGCCTAACTGAGAGTGTATTCCCCACACTGCATCTACAGACAACGTGTACTTGCCTAACTGACAGTGTATTCCCCATTATTCCCCACAATGCATCTACAGACAACAGGTATTTGCCTAACTGACAGTGTATTCCCCACACTGCATCTACAGACAGCAGGTACTTGCCTAACTGACAGTGTATTCCCCACACTGCATCTACAGACAATATGTACTTGCCTAACTGACAGTGTATTCCCCACACTGCATCTACAGACAACAGGTACTTGCCTAACTGACAGTGTATTCCTCCACTGCATCTACAGACAACAGGTACTTGCCTAACTGAGAGTGTATTCCCCATTATTCCCCACAATGCATCTACAGACAACAGGTACTTGCCTAACTGAAAGTGTATTCCCCACACTGCATCTACAGACAGCAGGTACTTGCCTAACTAACAGTGTATTCCCCACATTGCATCTATAGACAACATGTACTTTCCTAACTGACAGTGTATTCCCCACACTGCATCTACAGACAGCAGGTACTTGCCGAACTGACAGTCTTTTCCCCACAATGTATCTACAGACAGCAGGTACTTGCCCAACTGACAGTGTATTCCCCATTATTCCCCACAATGCATCTACAGACAACAGGTACTTGCCTAACTGACAGTGTATTCCCCACACTGCATCTACAGACAACAGGTACTTGCCTAACTGACAGTGTATTCCCCACAATGTATCTACAGACAGCAGGTACTTGCCTAACTGACAGTGTATTCCCCATTATTCCCCACAATGCATCTACAGACAACATGTACTTGCCTAACTGACAGTGTATTCCCCACACTGCATCTACAGACAACAGGTACTTCCCTAACTGACAGTGTATTCACCACAATGTATCTACAGACAGCAGGTACTTGCCTAACTGACAGTGTATTCCCCATTATTCCCCACAATGCATCTACAGACAACATGTACTTGCCTAACTGACAGTGTATTACCCACACTGCATCTACAGACAGCAGGTACTTGCCTAACTAACAGTGTATTCCCCAAACTGCATCTACAGACAACAGGTTCTTGCCTAACTGACAGTGTATTCCCCACACTGCATCTACAGACAACAGGAACTTGCCTAACTGAGAGTGTATTCCCCACACTGCATCTACAGAGAACAGGAACTTGCCTAACTGACAGTGTATTCCCAACACTGCATCTACAGACAGCAGGTACTTGCCTAACTGACAGTGTATTCCCCACACTGCATCTACAGACAACAGGTACTTGCCTAACTATTAGTGTATTCCCCACATTGCATCTACAGACAACAGGTACTTGCCTAACTAACAGTGTATTCCCCACACTGCATCTACAGACAGCAGGTACTTGCCTAACTGACAGTGTATTCCCCACACTGCATCTACAGACAACAGGTACTTGCCTAACTATTAGTGTATTCCCCACATTGCATCTACAGACAACAGGTACTTGCCTAAGTAACAGTGTATTCCCCACACTGCATCTACAGACAGCAGGTACTTGCCTAACTGACAGTGTATTCCCCACATTGCATCTACAGACAACAGGTACTTGCCTAACTGACAGTGTATTCCCAACACTGCATCTACAGACAACAGGTACTTGCCTAACTGACAGTGTATTTCCCGCAATGTATCTACAGACAGCTGGTACTTGCCTAACTGAGAGTGTATTCCCCATTATTCCCCACAATGCATCTACAGACAACATGTATTTGCCTAAATGACAGTGTATTCCCCACACTGCATCTACAGACAACAGGTACTTGCCTAACTATTAGTGTATTCCCCACATTGCATCTACAGACAACAGGTACTTGCCTAACTAACAGTGTATTCCCCACACTGCATCTACAGACAGCTGGTACTTGCCTAACTGACAGTGTATTCCCCACATTGCATCTACAGACAACAGGTACTTGCCTTACTGACAGTATATTCCCAACACTGCATCTACAGACAGCAGGTACTTCCCTAACTGAGAGTGTATTCCCCATTATTCCCCACAATGCATCTTCAGACAACATGTACTTGCCTAACGGACAGTGTATTCCCCACACTGCATCTACAGACAGCATGTACTTGCCTAACTAACAGTGTATTCCCCACATTGCATCTATAGACAACAGGTACTTGCCTAACTGACAGTGTATTCCCCACACTGCATCTACAGACAACAGGAACTTGCCTAACTAACAGTGTATTCCCCACATTGCATCTACAGACAGCAGGTACTTGCCTAACTGACAGTGTATTCCCCACACTGCATCTACAGACAACAGGTACTTGCTTAACTAACAGTGTATTCCCCACAATGTATCTATAGAGAACAGGAACTTGCCTAACTAACAGTGTATTCCCCACACTGCATCTACAGACAACAGGTACTTGCCTAACTGACAGTGTATTCCCCACTCTGCATCTACAGACAACAGGTACTTTCCTAACTAACAGTGTATTCTCCACAATGTTTCTACAGACAGCAGGTACTTGCCTAACTGACAGTGTATTCCCCACACTGCATCTACAGACAACAGGTACTTCCTTAACTAACAGTGTATTCCCCATTATTCCCCACAATGCATCTACAGACAACATGTACTGGTCTAACTGACAGGGTATTCCCCACAATGCATCTACAGACAACAGGTACTTGCCTAACTGACAGTGTATTCCCCACACTGCATCTACAGACAGCAGGTACTTGCCTAACTGATAGTGTATTCCCCACAATGTATCTACAGACAACAGGTACTTGCCTAACTGAGAGTGTATTCCCCATTATTCCCCACAATGCATCTACAGACAACATGTATTTGCCTAAATGACAGTGTATTCCCCACACTGCATCTACAGACAACAGGTACTTGCCTAACTATTAGTGTATTCCCCACATTGCATCTACAGACAACAG